CCAAATCAAATCAATCATCAATTTAAAAAAATGTATTACAGACTTGCCCACAGGCCAATCTTATGAAGGCATGTTCTCGGTTGAGAGTCTCTTCCCAAATGTCTGTAGCTTGTGTCAAGTTGACAAGAAAACAGCCAGCACGGCCATCTTGAGTGCCACATGCCCAGCGAGCAGACTTTCCTCTTTCATTGGTTGGTTATTTTATGTTGGTTTTCAACCACCTGCAGGAGGTTTCCAAAGGCTTTTGTATTATTTCTGGTTCAACTCTGTTGCAGAAACTATACTGTGTGGCCGTTCTGTCTTTTTGAATATTTTGAGGCTTGGTCTACTGTCTTGCTGAAGCCAACATAGTTGGACTCCATGCCTTGTTAAGCCACGCTGTGCTTTTTCTAACATTTTGGAGCCTTTTCACTGTCTATCTCTCTCTATTTCCCCCAGGTTTCCACCTAGAGGCACACATTCTCAAACTTAAAAGATATGCTAAGCCACCCTTGTATGATACCAGTAGAGGAAAATGTGTTCATCTCTAAAACAGAGACGTGTTCATTAACACTTCATCTTGGCAGACGTTTGTTTTACTTGCCACATTACTTCCTGGGGGTGGGGATGCTGTGGTTCTTCCCTGGGGCTCCCAGGGAGAAGGGAGGCAGCAACTGACATCATCTCTTTACCACTGGCGTCCAGTCTCACTTGTGCATCTTTGTTTCTGCCTCTCACCTGAAGCCCTTTAAGCCCCAGCTGTGATGTCTCCTCTCTTCTGGCCAAATATTTCTCCTCTTGCCCATCACCAAGGTAACACAAGCCATCTTCGGAGCCATTACCTCATGGAACAGTCGCCTGCCTGCCCACTCAGACAAGATGTCCCTCTAATTACGTAGCATCCAAAATGGAGGGGAAACCCATAGTCATAGTCTGGCCCGTGGCATGAGCAATTCTCCACCCATGACATACACTCTCCCCATTCAGAGATGCCTCAGTTGCTCGGTCGGCCTGGAACTGGTCATCCCCTCAGCACGCCTGAGGGCAGAGGCCAATAAAAACAAAACACTTTAAATGAGGAGGAAGGACTAGCTCACGTTCCTCTGAGGGGATCTGGTACTTCTCCACTCCTCCACACCTTTGCACAGGGCTCACACATCTTGAACACATCTGTGTGATGACTTGAGTCTGACTGTACCTCCACAGCTCGTGTATGGATGTTTGCAGCCAGCTGGTGGTACTCTAAGAGGCTGTGGGCCCTTGATGGAAAATGTAGGCCACTGGGGTTGGGGGACATGGTTTGAAGATTACAGTGTGAGCCTAGCTCCTGCCTTGCTCTCTCTGCTTCCTGGTTTGCTGTGATGAGAACAGCCTGTGCCACATGATCCAGCTGACCTGCTCCTCTACACCCTGGGGGACTGCAACCCTGACCATACATCCTTCTTCTTATGTTTCTGTCAAGTACTGTGGTCATAATGACAACTCCGTCCCCAGTCTGTTAATCACTCTGAAAATGCCTTCACATACACACCCACAGATAGGTGTCTCTCCAGGATTCTAAGTGCCCCTAAGTGGAAAGCAAAGAGCTACCACCACATCTTGTATCCTGTTGTCTGACGAAAACTAGGGTAAATTATATGTGAGACTGAATGACAGTGATGGTTTAGTACTCTTGCCTTTCAGAGCCCTGTGTAGGAGCCATTTCCTTCTGTATCCTAGGAAAACAATGATATGATTCTGAGACTGGCAAGAGGAAAGATGGCTTCCCTCTTCCCGGCCCTCAGCCTCTGTAGGTTATGTCAGGGTTACTCTTCCCAAGGATGTCCCACTGGACCTTGTGGGACAGATGGCTCTAAACATCTCAGGGATCTCCACAGTCTACCTTGTCTTTGTTCTTATATGAAACTTCACAGGAGACATGAAATGAATTTGCATGAATGGTAGGAATTGAGAGACCGATTGTTTAGAAATTAGCATGAGACTGATGTATTTTTAATATTTTTTAAGATTTATTTTGTATTTTATGTACATGAGTGTTCTATTTGCATGTATGCCTACATGGTGGAGAGGGTAGCAGATAGAAGAGGGCATCAGATTCCATTATAGATGGTTGTGAGCTACCATGTGGGTGCTGGGAATTGAACTCAGAACCTCTGCAAGAGCAGCTAGTGCTCTTAACCACTGAGTCATCGCTCCAGTCTGAGACTGATGGATTATGGGCATGGTGAATATTCCTGTTCTTTAATGGAAGGAGGGGCACTGACAACCTGAATTCCCTAACACTGTGAACCCTCCCTCCTCCCTCACTCCTTCCTTCCATTTTCCCTCCAATCCTTCCTCTGTTTCCACTGGGGCACAGATAGCACTTCATAGCAGTCATGTCTCATTTAACCCTATCAGAAATTCTCTAGGGTTCTCTCTCACCTTTCATCCAGGAGATGAGGTAAGTCACACCATGTCACAAGCCAGGAAACAGTAGCAATGGTGCTATAATCCAAGTCCAGCTGTCTCTCAAGCCTGTGTCCAATGTAGCATACAAACATTCCCCACAGAACTCCTCATATTTTTCCCCGGAAAACTTAAGCTATTGATTTGTTTGCTAACATTTTAAGAAATCAGTTGTTTTCTTCTTAAAATACACGCAAGAGAAATATTAAGTATGTGTAAATAATTGTCATCATTATGCAACAATTTGCTTTTAAGAAATAATCAAATCTGAAAATCTTGTATGAAAGAAATTACATGTATGACATCCCATATGCACAAACGTGGCTGTGTTCAGTAGCTTGTCCTGTAATAGTGACAAAATTTATGTTGCTATTCATCGTTTACTTTATTTAGTGACAAATCAAATTGATTACCTCTCGTACAAGTTTACCTGCCTGTGGGCCTGCACTGCTCAGCTGCTAGGACCCAAAGACACATTGTGTCTTGTGGCCATCTATTTTCTGCTACTGCTTTACATATTTAAAAATTTAAAGCCTTTTATTTTCCTTAAACTCCAACAACTGTGTGTTCACAGTGAGACAAGTAGTGTGGCAGTTCTCTGAACTACTGTGGGTAACTGGAAGTCCTTCTCTTACAAGCCTCTTAAGTGCTAGGGGAGACAGACTCAGACAGCATTTTAAGTGCTTAGTGGTGCTCACAAAAAGGCAAGGAATATTCAGCGGCTAAAATGAAAAGCTTGGTATCCGAATGTAAATGGCGGCAGAAGTGAGGCTGAAGTAAAAGTACACCTGTTTGGGCAGTCTGGTTTTAACACTCATATAGAGACAGACGAAAAGGTCTTGGATTCAAATAAAATTGGACACTGAACAAGACCACCCTCTAATAAGCCAGAGTCCTCAGTCATGCCTGCATATCCCTAGGGAGAAAAAACTTTCAGTATTGGGAGACCCAAAAAGCTAGTTTATCTCTCTTGACTGGGATTAGAAGAACGTGAAATATTTTCCTGCGTAATATTTTGGTGTGTGTGGTTCTAGGGATCAAGCATAGGTTGTCACAAACGTTGGCGAGCACACTACCACACAGCCTCTTGTGTGATTTTGAAACACTAGTCTGCAAAACATGGAGCTTGAAATCTTAGCTTATCTTACCTCTGTAGTTTCAGAAATACCATCCTAAGATCTGAATTTTCAAACTTATCTCAGTCCACGATGTCTTCATGTTGCCTGATAGAAGCCAGTCCAAAACCTCTCTGCAGGGAGCACCCCAATCCAGGGAAGTCTCCTATAAACTCTCATCTCACCTAAATGCAGGCTCAGTGTGGAAGGCCTTTTGTGGTACCTGTTCTAAGGACTGAAGGCAGACAAATGGGAGATTTGGGCTTGCAGGCAAATGTTGTTAGGGGCCACAAAATGGATTTCCAGACAGCCATTTTGCGTGAGGATGTGGTATTTCCCAAACTTTTCTCTTTTTCTTCTTAAATGTCTTAGTTTAAAGGTTCATTGACTTACACATAAGGGTGTAGCACTCAGCATCGGCTGATTTTCTACCAGTTTGGTTAGCTTACCTGTGAGCACAGAAAGTATTCAAGCTTCAAGGCTTTACCGCTCCAGGAGGGATACTATTTTAAACAGGCTTGACTTCCCCCACATCCAGTCTCCTACCCCGCCAGGTCTTTGAATATACTGGGCTTTGTATTAGTTCATAATTCTTGTGTGGAGGTAACATCAAGAGAAATAAAAAAATGGGAGATAAAATACAACCCAAAATGTTACCACAGTCGGTCTGTGAGATTAACCACACAAGGATGTGAGCCCCTGGGAAGCTGGCATCAGCATTAAAGGGGCGCTCCGAAGCTAACGGCTTGCCACAGACTTGTTCCCAGGAAGGCAGAGAAAAGCTACCATCTGTTTTATCCCGTCTTGTTGCTACAGCTGAGAACAAAGGTTTAAGTCAGTCCTGGGTAAGCCATGCTGGTGAGCATGAACAGGTTGGATAAAGCCGCCACAGCATCCCAGTACCTCAGGGTTTGTATCCCGCACTTTGTCCTGTCCCAGGCCTCTGCTGAACGGGTCTTGTTCCTTTCTTCCTCTGAGAGTCTATTAGTTACACAAAATAAATGATTTTGTTATGACAGTTTCTACCTATATAATGTCCTTTGTTGTTGCGTCTGCTGCGCGGCCTGTGTCCGAGAACGTGTGGAGGGTGTCGGGGATTGACAACACAGAGACTTGTTCAACGATGTAAAGAAAACTTTAAGCAGGCCCCAAAAAGGCTCAAGAAAACTTCCTAAGAAAGGCTCCCTCCAGAAAAGCTTCTGCTCTCTCCTCCACCCTGGCTGGTTCTCCTCTGACACCAAAAACTGATCTGGGCGTGTCAGAAGAGGCGGTTAGTCTTTGGACAAGGTCGAGGTCAGGGCGGTTTCCGTGGGCAGGCCTTTTCCAGGAACCTATTGCCCCGGGCATTGTATTGTTTTTAGTAAACATGTTTTTAGTAAACATTGTCTTACAGCTGCCTACTCCCAGGCTGAAGGGGAAGTGGGTCTCTGCTCAAGGTCTGGTGTCCCCACACTTAGTTATTTCTGTATCTCTCTGTCTCTGTGTGTCTGCCTCTCTTTCTCCCTGTCTGTCTGTCCATCCCCCCAACTCTCATGTAAAAAGGTTGACCTAAGTTCTTCCTTTTCTTTGGGCGGTGGGAAATTTGCCCTTCCTGGGGTCTCATCTTGGACCTTGAGTGAACACGCAAGACTCTAGTATTTTAGAGTTCCCCAGCTCTTAGGGATATTGGATCTGTTCAAAGCAGGTGTGTAAGTACATACACACACACACACACACACACACACACACACACACACACAGAGGATGGTAACCTAAAACAAAAGGGTCAATGAATGACAAAAAAAAGTCTAAAATATTTCATCAAATCTAAGGCATCATTGGCTGTCAGTAACACCTCTCTTTATGTCCCATAAAGAAGAAAAATAAAAGCACTACAAAATTAAGCCATGATGTGAATTGTAGTACATCCTGATTTTGGAGATAGCAAAATGTGAAAAAAAATACACAATTTGGATTGATTTTTTTATGTAATAATTCTCTACCCCACCCTTTTAGCAATATCACTGGCAAGTATTTGACTAAATAAAATAATATGAAAATATTGTCTCTACTCTTTGATTCTCCTTAACTCCTGGATCCTGGAACATTGTTCTATGGCCTATTCGATAAATAATGAACCATGGATAGGCCTACCTTAGATTGAACCACATAAAAACCTTAAAATTCATGGGAAGTAGGTGTGAAAGCCAGTGCATCATGTCTGTGAGGCCTTTGGACAGAGTGATGAGCTTTGGATGCATCCTGAAGCAGGGAGTTTGGACTACCTGCCTTTTTCTTCAACTTCTGGGTCATTTGTTGCTGTTGTTGTTGTTGTTGTTGTTCCAAGATTTTTTTTAAATGTGCATGTGTGTTTTGTCTCTATGTGTGTATGTTACCACATGTGCCCAGTACCTGTAGAGACCAGAAGAGGGTGTTGGATCCCCTGAAACTAGAGTTTCAGGTAGTTGTGAGCTGCTGTATGGTGTCTGGGAATAAAACCTGGGTCACTTGGAAGAGCAGCCAGTGCTCTTACCTGCTGAGCCATCTCTCTAGGCCCTGACTTCTGGATCCTGAGACATGTTTACTGCTGGATTTCAACATGCATGGTTGAAGAACCTTCCGTGCAGAGCATATCTGGCAGAGCTACTTTGAGATTTCTACCAAGTCAAAGGCATTTGTTGCTGTTTTCTTTAAAGTGGAACTCCAGTCTGTTCAATACATGTTAGTTTTATTGTTCCTTACACTCATTTAATAAATACATGTGGATTTTATTAATGTACATTCTTTGTAGAAGACTTACTTTTATTACATTTTTATTTATTTAGTGTGTGTGTGTGTGTGTAAGTCAGAGGACAACTTGCAGGAGCCACTTCTCTCCTTCCACCTTGTGGGTTCCAGGAATTAAACCCAGAACTTCAGGCTTGGTGACAGATGCCTTTACCTGCTAAGCCGTCTCGCTTGCACTGTTAATGTGCATTCTTTACATTCAAATTTAGTTTTCTATAGAGATATCTGTTTGAGTTTGGCTTCCCCAATGAAAATCAAAAAGTAGGACATCAAGTAAGATAATAATGCAGGAAGGGGTTACTAAATTATACAGGAAACTAAATCTAATGAAAGTCTTCTGAGGATGGAGTTATTGCCTTTGTTACTGCTGAACCAGGGGAGGTAGAAGACATGACTTTGGAGCGTGGCATTGTGGCTGTAGAAACTAGCTGAGTCCAGGAAGTAGTAAGCAAGAATATCCATCAACTTGTGCAAGTGAGTATCACCACACATAAAACCCCATCCACTGAGCATTTCTGGATGATCACAATTCTGAGTATGTGTCAACTCATTAACTTCCACAGGTCGTGCCCTCTCACACCTTACAGCCCCCCATCAAGTCAGGGATACTTACTGTTCCTTTGCAAGCAAGGTTATTGAGGTCAGTTGTGGTTGTGTTCCAAGGACTCGCTTCTGGAAAGTGAGGTTCTGCTTCATTCCAGACCCACATCTTATAATCACAGCTTGTCTTCTGTCATAGTCAGGGTTTCTACTGCTGTGAAGAGACACCAAGACAATGGCAACTCTTATAAAGGAAAATGTTTAATTGTGGCTGGCTTATAGTTCAGAAGCTTGGTCCATTGTCGCCTTGGTGGGAAGCGTGGTACCCACCATGGTACTGAAGGGACAGTTGAGAGTTCTTCATCCAGATCCACAGGCAGCAGGAAGAGACTGTGACACACTTCCTCCAACAAAGCCACACCCACTTCAACAAGGCCACACCTCCTAATCGTGAAACTCCCTATGGGCCTATGGGGCCATTTTCACTCAAACTACAGCAGCTTCACCTCGGAGCGCAGCAGCTTCAAGGTCGAGCGTCTCTCCGTACTCTCTCAGGTGTGCTGAGTGAACCTGAAGCAAAAGACCTGGATGTAGGAACTGGAAGAGCACAAAGCAAGCATACAGTGCGAACAGAATCCCGAGAACAAGGCAGAAGGGCCAAAGTCAGCCAGGGGGCACAAGACTGGCACTTGGTACCGAGTTCTGCTTGCCTGCCTTGCAAGGGCAGCGGCCCCACCCCACCTAAGGTCCAGCTTTACCCTAGTGATTCTGTAGCATTGTGCCGGAAGGTGAGGGTACCTTAGTTATTAGGAAAGGGCTGCAGAACCTTGAAACCAGGTAGGGCCTGAACCAACAGGGGTGTGTGTGTGTTGCAAGTATTGTTCCCATGATGCCTTTGGGATTCAGTACATTTCCTGCACCTGCACTCTTCGTTTGTAGTTCGAAAGCATACTGGCCCCGTGGATCTTAAGCAAGCCATAAGTACACTGAGTATGTTAATTCGCTTTTACTTATTTGTATCTGACTTGTCTCAAAAGGGTTATAATAATGTGATAATTTGTTATAACCATATAACATCTAATTTCCTGCACAAAATTAATTACAGGCAATAAACTAATTTTCCTTTGTAAGTTAGGCTGTTCTTGCCAATGTTTGGTAACTGATGTTGAAGCCCATAATAGTCATTATAAATTTATATGCTCCATATGTATTTTATGAGAATATGGGGACTTTGTTAGCCATTTTTACAGAAATAATTTGGTTTTGGAAGGGGAAAATATAAACACAGACATATAATAAAATGGCTTAGAAAATTTTCACAGGAATGATTTCTCTTTAAAAACCTTTTATGGTGGACATTGTTTGAATTTAATGCCCTGTTTCTTTTTAGTTCTTTTATCTTATGTGTATGGGTATTTTGTCTACATGTATGTCTGTGCACCACGTGTGTACCTGGTGACCACGGAGGTCAGAAAAAGGCATTGGACCCCTGTAACTGGAGTCACAGATGGTGTGAGCCATCATGTGGGTGCTAATAATAAAACCGGGGTCCTCTGGAAGCACAATCAGCGTGATTAACCACTGAGCCATCTCTTCAGTCCCCTTCTTCCTATTTTAAATTGTTGGGTATATTTCTTTTAAGGCCTGAGCTTAGCATTGCTAAGGACAGTCCTATCACTAACAAAATAATTTTAACATACTGAAATGTAAAGGATTCATAACTTTCACGGACGAGAATTACTTAGTTTTGTTAATTAAGTTGATACTCCCTGGTAGCATAGTTTACAGGTTGTCAGTCTGCCTAGCATTTTTTTTCTCCCTATCAATAGAAACATAACTGAAAAAGAGAGTGACAGATTAGAAAATCATGCTGTAGAAATAGGGTGATTGCCAGTGAGGAAAAAGGTTCCACACATTTCCAGAGCCTGTAACCCGTACCGCAGCTGGGAACCACAGCAGGCCTGATTCAGGAAAAGCTGCTGCGGGGAGCAGAAGCCACAGCGACTCTTCTGTACCTTCACTGACAAAGTTGCTACAGACTAGAGCAGCCGTTCTCCACCTCTGGGTCGAGACCCCTTTGACCACCCTCTGTCTCCAAAACATAAAATTTACATTACCACCCATAACAGTAGCAAAATTGCGTTATGAAGTAGCAATAAAAATAATTTTATGGTTGATGGTTAGCACAACATGAGGAGCTGTGTTAAAGGTCACAGCATTAGCGAGGTGGAGAACCACTGGTCTAGAGGGAAGTGTTGGGTATGTGACACCCAGAAGGTCACTACTGAAGAACTGGAGTGGGCTGTCGGTGGTGTCACTCATCTGTAATCCCAGAGCTCAGAGGCAGAGACAGGGGGATCTCTGGGTTCAAGGCCAGCCTGATCTACAGAGTGAGTTCCAGGACAACCAGGGCCACACAGAGAAACCCTGTCTAGAAAAACAAAATGAAACAAAAGAACTGGAGTGGGCTTCCCTGACCTCTGGTTGAGGGGAGAGCATATTGTGCTTAGCACGTTTCTAAAGCATTTGACCCCCAGTACTCCTCTTTTCCCCCAGAATCAAAACAGCCAAGTCTGGAATCTAAAAAACGAGAATGTGTGATGCTACCTCTCCTTGTACTGTACTTTTAGATTAAAATTTATCTTCAGATTAATTACTAAGTAATCTGTGGTGCTACGGGGAGGGGGGGTGCAAGTCAGGGCCAACAAGGCAAGCACTGACCTTGAGCTGCAGCTCTGCAAACGGCTTTGGAGCACCTGCACATTTCCACCCTTCTCAGAGCCCAGGTCTCTCAGGAAGTGACGCTCCTCCTCCTGCTTCTTTTAATCACCTGTAACATGTCACACTGCAGGCAGACAAATGCTTGGCTGTGGGGGTAGGGGGACGACACACACACACACACACACACACACACACACACACACACACACACACACACACACCACAGTTTCTGCCTCTACCTCAGACAAACCCAACCCACAAATCAATTTCACAAACGGTTGTTTTGTTTCATTCTGCTGTGGATCTGGGGTTGAACCCAGGGCCTCACACCTGCTAGGCCAACACCTTCTTAGTTAGCTTTTGAGTCCTGTGATAAACACCATGACTGAAAGCAACTTGAGGAGGAGAGGGTTTCGTTTCATCTTCGCGCTGATATGATCAGCTTTTTACTTCACTGAGGGCAGTCAGGGCAGGAACCCAGAGGCCAGAGCTGAAGCAGAAACCACACAGAAGCTGACCGGCTTGCTCCCCATGGCTTGTTCTGGAATGCTGCCTTTTACTACACAGGACCACCTTCCCAGGGGCATCGCAGTGAGTAGGGCCCCACATCAAGCATGAATAAAGAAAATGCACCACAGACCTCTCCCTGACAATCTAACAGAGGCACTTTCTCAGTTAAATTAAGATATCCCTCTAGGGCTAACAAAATGACTCAGCAGTTAAGAACACTTGCTTTTCTTTCAGAGGACCTGGCTTCAATTCCCAGCACCACATTGCAACTTACAACCATATATAACTACAGTCTCAGGGGACTGACACCCTTTTCTGGCCTCTGGGCACCAGGCATGCCGTTGGTATGCAGATGTGGATGTGGACAAAACATGAATACATATAAATAATAAAATGAAAGATGGTCCTCTAGTACACTCCTTTAGTTAAATGTATCCAAAATAATAATTAAAATCATTTATTTCTATCTCAAAGATGGGGGAGAATGGGAGGATGGGAGGGAGAGGGAACTGGAATTGCTATGTAAAATAAGATAGTTTTTAATTTAAATAAAAATTAATTAAAAAATAAGAACAAAAAAGTACTCTGTTAAGAGTTTTTAGGACTGTTAATTCCTAAGTATGGGCCACAGTCTGATGAATTAGGCGACTACTATTACCCCCATTTTACAAAGGAGGAAAATGAGGCAATGTCACAAAGAAAATGCTCAATGTCACAAAGCCAGTTGGGAAAGAGACCAAGATGCATAATTAAGCTGTCTCACCCCTGTAAGAACTCAGAGCCTAACAGCCTCTCTATTCTGCTTCCAGTGACCTTAGCTCCTTTGTTCTTTCTGGGCTTCCCCTCATTTTGGGAACCAGAAAGGCTGGCCTTCAAGCTCACTTGGTTCCCTGACAGATTTGAGTTTATGTGATCTTACCAAGAAAACAAAAACAAGAAAACACTGGTTGTGCCCTCATTTTTGCTCTGCATTCTCCATTAAAATGGCATGAATATGTGCATAAAACCTCAGATGACAAACTGAGCAACAGAGACACAGCAAAGCCAGAGGTAGTGACCTAATAGTGTTGGAGGTTAGACCTCAGGACCTGGGGGAAAGACACCAGAGAAGGGCAGTTGTGACCTTGAGAGCCTTGGCATTCTAAAGACAGCAGGCACAGCAGACGTGGCAATGCCATTGTGCAGACCATTTGCACGTCTTGGTCACTGATCCCATTTCTACTGGTGCACACTCACCTCTGCTCACACCCAGTCACCCACTGTTGCAGGAGACTGAAGATGAATTTTTCAGAAAGGAAAAAAAAAGAAGAAAGCAAGAACTTGTCCAAAGGTGGTTATGAAGTAAACCAGAAGTAAAACTGCTTTGGTTACATTCTCTACATGAGGTTATAAGACTAAGACTGCCAGTGCTCTATCCAATCAGTCAGACATTACCATTCTCTGCCCACACTAATACTAGAATTGGACAGTGGGTGGATGTGCAGTGCAGAAACTGAATGGATCTGAAGAAAAGTCCTCTACGTATGACACTGGGATTCCGGAGCTGAGAAAGACATCTCTCCCATGGGAACCTCCTAGTATATCATCACTCTTTGCTCCCCACAGGACCACCCTTTCCCAGCAGGTTGGTATCTCGTGCTAAAATATGAAAAGGCAGACAAGGAGAACACCACACAAACAAAACAAAATAAAAACAACAACCAGAAAGGAAAGAAATCCCTTACTTTTGCTCATCTTCTTGTGATCCCATGAAAATGGCCTCAGTTCTGGGGAGTCACTTAAAGATGAAATAACATCTTTCTAAAAAAACAGAGATTTTTCTTTGACAGTCTAGTGTTTCTTAAAGTAAGATACCTTTTACACCGCACATTGTGGTACCTATAATCCCAATACTTAGGAGGCTGAGGCAGAATAATTGTTAAGTTCCAGGCAGCTTGGGCTATATAATGAGATCACGACTTGTAAAACCAAGAGCTAGGATGTTAACCACAGAAATCTTGCTGAGCATATACAACTCCCTGATAGATGCATAGACAGATAACAGATATTTTCTAGTGAGATAGCACTGACTGAGTTTGTTTAAAGTTCAGCTCAATTTATAGTACATATTGCTTCATAGGCTACTATATCAAAGTTTTGCCTCAAGTGTTTTATAAGTATGAACTCATTAGTACTGAGCACAATCTGAAGACACTAATGGATTCATATTTGTAGAGCACAATAGAAGCAGAAGAAAATGTTCAAATATTATCCCCATGGATACAGAATAAGTGGCTAATATCCATTAAGCAAAATCAAGTCTGTAAGATGGCAAGAGAACACAAATAGAAGGTCTTGTTTCTGCAATTGAAAGTACATGCCCTTCGGGAGCTGCTCTTGCTCTCCTGGTCAACAACTGTCCGTACTCTCCACCACGCTTCCCAGCCCCAGGCATGGAGGCAGCTGGCACTAGCACCTTGCTTTCCCAGCCTCCTTTGCTCTAAGATACTGGCCTTTGTCATGGTGAAGGGAGACTTGCTAAGAATCTCCCAGAGGAAAGAGTTTTCTTCCCCAGTTAAAGAAAAATACACTAATGTAAGAAATCTTTCTGTGTGTCAAGCAATATATTACTTTAAATGAACTCTGGAACTATGGTGATTTTCTTGGAACCATAAGACGGCTAAGTATAAAGGTTTGCCAATTGACTAAAGATGGCAGAGAGGAAAGGGTCCTCAATGGAACCAGTGAGCCAGTACCTTATTGACTAATGGGAAAATGTCAATATATGGCATGTGGGCCACGAGGAAAGACCTGAAGTTTAGATCCCCTGGTAGAGTCTGGCAGGAAAGAGATACTGTTGCCAGGGTTCCAGTGGACACAGCGTTGTGCCACCCATTCTCTCCACAAATAGTTACACTGAGGGTCTAGCCCTATTCTGTGTGACAAGGTTTTAGGTAGTGAACAAAACCAATGCCTTGGCATTTCTAACTTTACCTTTTTGGTAGAACACATTGGAAATAAAATAGAAGATACGAAATGTATCAGTGGAAAGTACTAGGAAGAAAACTAAAGTAGGTCAGAAAGACAAGGTGGGCTTGAAGGAAGAGAGGCCAGAGGTCTGGAAAATTAGCATTTAGGCATTTGAAGCAGAGACTTGGAGAAAACAAGGGTGCAAATCATAGAGACAAGGAAGTCAGTTCTGGAAAGTGGAGACAGCAAGGTTAGTGGAGATGTATTTGGTACATTTGAAGAAAAGCACAGGCAGCCAAGAAAAGCCAGTTGGAGATATTAGATGACTAAGAGAGGTAACAGAGGTCAAATACTGTTGAGTCTGGCAGGCCATGGTATGGGCTTAGCCTTTGGCTCTGAAAAGGTGGGAAGTTTTTCTTGGGACTTGAGTTTAGCGGTATGATCTGACTGGTGTTTTAAGGATTAAGTCAAAGTTGAAAGCAGGGAGATATTTGGTACAGTGGGAGACAACGGTAGCTTGAGAGAGAATACTGTCCGAAGGCCTGGTGAAAAGTGTATGGATTATAGCTGGGACTTGGAGAGACAAAGCTGTTCTTGAGGAATTTGATCCTTGTGAACTCCAGTCTTGGGTTGGAACAAAGGCATGAACTGGGTTGTCATTCACTAACAAGGAGAAGAGGGAACCTGGAGTTTGATTGGGCCTGTTTGCTTTTAGGTATCCAAGTTTGGTGGGCAGCTAGATGTGTCATTCAGAAGGCTGAGTGAGGTCACCGTATAAAAAGATGTTGTCTTGATAAAGAATAGATCCAGAGAATGAGAGTACACAGAGAAGAATTCTACATCGAAGAACGTACTTAGGGACTGAGTCCAGGACATGTGACTATTTAGAAACTAGGAGAACAGGATAAAACTAGTGAAGTCTCTACCACCAGAGAGATGCACTTGAACCAATCACAGAAGCTGAAACCCCACCTGTCGGTCATTTCAGCCCCTGGGAGGTAGAGACAGGAGAATTGCAAATGTGAGGTCAGCCTGGATTACACAGCAAGACTCTTTCTTCAAAAGCAAAAACGCAGAGCATCAAAACACACAGCAAACCAAGAAAAGAAGATTGAAATCCCACCACCATACTTACTGAGTTGAACACATTGTTGGCACTAATAAACCACGACACATCAGCCATAGTCAGAGCCAAGCTTGAAAGTAACTCCATGGCTGGGCGGCTTGTGCAATTCTCACCTGGCCCGTGAAATTGTGGGAGCCCACTCTGGGAAGGGGTCACTAGAAGGAAAATGAGGAGCTCTGATGTGTTGATTTTCATGCTAACAGAAGATTTCCTGTCCAAACGTCAGAAGCCTCCGAGGAAAAGCAAGCTAAACACAAAGCAATATGGACACCATAAGCACAATGCAGAAGGATGTGTCTGGGCTGGGTGTGGCGATGCACACCCTTGATCCCAGCAGCACTGGAGTTCAAGGCCAACCTAGGCTGGGTGACAAGACCAGGTGTGTTTGTGCGTGCGTGCGTGCGTGCGTGTGTATGTGTGTGTGTGTGTGTGTGTGTGTGTGTGTGTGTGTGTGTGTGTGTGTAAAGTGGGATGACTCAGCTGATGAAAGTGCTTTTCACTAAGCCTAACAATCTGAGTGTCTGGAACCCACACGGTAGAAGAAGAGAACTGACTCCCATAAGTTGTCCTCTGACCTCCACGTGCACTCTGTAGCATGCCCACAAGTAAACAAATAAAAATGTAGCAAATTTTTAAAGAAAAAGAAAGATGTAATCTGCACAAATTTCAGCATCACATACGGTGTTTTGGTACCAAGTTACTGAACGTTTCTGATCATAGTGTTCTTCCTAGTTAAATAAAAGCAAATGGGCAAATCTCACAGGAAGCTATTTTATGAGTAATAAATTGGATGCCATGGGAAAGATCCCTGGTGCTACATCATCCTAACATGAGATCAATAAACAAAGCTATTATTGTTGCTACTGTCTCAGAGTTAAGCCCAATGTAGCATTATCTGCATTGGCATGAGTGTAGCTGGACAAGGAAGCTGCAGCTGCACTGTATAAAATTCCCTGAAAGGCATTTCCATGGGCTGGACTCGGGGTCATGCTTTCTTGATATATTCCAAAATAAATGTCACTGACTTGTCTGAAACTCTGCCCTTTAAGTCAGTTCTCAAATCTGTAAGGTTAGGATTCTCCGGTACCCATGGGAGGCTGGGGGCCAGTGAACACCTTGTAGCCTGAGGGTGTTGGCAGGCCAGGAAGAATGTGGTTGCCAGGCACTAAGTGGCCTCGGGCTCACCTTTGTTCTGTTTTCACTCTTGATTTCATTATTTTCACACTGAAGTCCTGTGTGCATAAGGGCGTTGGCTTTGTTCTCACTGGCTCACAAAATAGAAAGCAGATAGCAAACGCCTAAGGAATAGGTTTTTGAGAGCACATCATAGCTTTCTTTTTATTTTCACAGAAACTAAGACCAAATTGGAATCTAGCAGAAACAGTCATATTCCTCACTCCCGAAGAAAATATTTAAAACTTGAGCAAGTGGGTTTAGTGTCTAAAACAATGTTTACTTGGGGCTATTATTAACTTCATTTTCTTATTTAAATATATGATTTTGTGTTCTGAACCTACGATTTATTCTTGTCTATCTGGCTTGAAACTTTATACTTCTAGAGCCCTTGAGCTGAAAAATTCAAGGAACAGTGTGGGTTTTGAATTTCAGTTTTTGTATTTCAGTTCATGCTCATTCAATTTATCAACATTTTTTAAAAAAAGTCAAGGCACATGGATATTTCCCAGAAGTCTAATGGTTTCCCCAGGGGAAACATAAAATTTCATTTAAAAATCTTCTATCCCTTTTCAAAAATAACCGTGGAAATCCTGTTTCTAATGTGAGATTTAAGGAGGAGTTGTTCATGCTTCCGAAGCCAGCTACTTCGTTTGCTGGCCTTCAGGAGGTGAGGGCTGAGTCTCTGTGTTACAGAAAAACAGATTTGGAAGGTTGCTTTGAAATCATTGTCCCTAGGAGTTTTATCCTTATTGCTTCTGAAAAATGAAAACATGCTCTAATAGAGGCATACTAAATCATTTGGGTAGACTTGACTTGGGAGGGTCATTTTGGTCATTTCTAAACACTCAGATAAGAGGTTTGATGCCTGCCTTGGTTCCAACCTCTTGGTTGTCATGATCATAGGGGAATTTTACTTAACCTGTTATCTGAGCATAATGAATTATGAACTTAGACTTGACATGGGCTAAAGGGTTTGGAGCCATAGTCACAACTATAACACCCAACAGATGAATTTATAATAGTTGGAAATCACACAATTAATCATCACAGAAACCTAATCAATACGTGTGCAGTTATCTAAAGGATCAAACGAAGAGGGCAGTGAGCACAGTGTTTCCTGACTGTGTCACACTATTGTTTCTAACCTAAGCTGCCTCTGAGTCAGCCAGGGAAGCTAATTGGCTTATCTGTTTCCACGGTTGCTCTACTTGAAAGCCAGACCACCATTTAAATTGTACTGTTTTCTCCATAAAATGTGTTGCATTTTGATGATAAGTAGGAGGGAACATTTAGAGGCCATGTTTATATTCTAGTGTTATACTATTCTGCCGAATCTGCTCTCAGAACATAATAAATAGAATCGTCTCCATTTTGGTAAATACCTGTAGCTTTGAAGACGGTCAAGGGAAGCCTTCAGGGCAGATGAAAAGCAGCATGGTCTGGTTTGTGGTTTCAGAGGATGGCAGAGATTTTGTGTTTATGATGGAATGGACAGCAGGGCAGAATCAGAGAAGCCAGATAAAATATTACCGTAAAGAGCTGGGTGAGAGCTGGCGAGCCGGGATGGAAGGGCTGTGGGGGCTGTGAAGTCTGAGATTCTGTGCACAGCGTGGGTTAGGACCAGGACTGATGGGAGGTGAGACAAAGTGCGAGGTGTCGAAGGGAAACAGGCACCAACTGGACAAAACAATTCCTTAAAGAATCTGATAAAGGTCATGTGTCCAAATACGAAATGCACTTATAACTCATTCAAAAGAGGACAAGGAACTGAACTTTTTTCTTTAATTGTCAAAGAGTTAACTAGGCTCTCTACCAAGCAAAGGCAGATAAGTAGTAAAAGAGGAAGTGGGAAGTTTGTCAACATCATTAGACACGGGGTGGGGGGCCCATGGGAAGTGGATCAAAGCAGAATCAGAAAGCCATGTCCTTCACACCTACTAGGATGCCCACAGTCCAGAAGTGAAGTAACACCACAGTTGTTAGTGGGTGGACAATGGAACCCACTGGTGAGAATGTAAAATGGTCCAGCCAATTTGAAATTGCTTTGGCAGTTTCTTATGAAGTCAGCACACACTTAACATGACCCACAACCCTTCACTGAGGCGTCTATCCAAATGAAATGAAGACATTTTCCCCACCAAGGCTGGTCTGCAAATGTTCATGACTACTGTATTCATAACAACTGAGGCTAGGCTGTTCCAGATATCCATGACGGCTGGAGGTAGGCGATGGTGGCGTATCCATGAGTTAACACCACTCAGCAACTGAAAAGGAATACACTGTCTGTAAGGATGAGAGCAGCTATGATATAGCATGAAGGGTCTCAGATGAGTTAGACTCAGTAAAAGAGCTGGATTCACAAGGCTACGTTTAGATGAAACTCTAGAAAAAACAAAGCAGTTATGACAGAAGACAGAACAATCACAACAAAGAGACAGTCTAAAAAGAGACACCAAGCCAGATGGTGGTGGTACTCACCTTTGATCCCAACACTCAGGAGGCAGAGGCAGGCAGATATCTGTGAGCTGGAGGCCAACCTGGTCTGTAAAATGAGTTCCAGGACAGCCGGAGCTGTTAAACAGAGAAATCTTGTCTTGAGAAACCAATAATAATAATAATAATAATAATAATAATATAATGAAATTGTAAAAAATAAAATAAAGTGAAAAATGAAAAGGGATACCAGGAATCGCTTGGAGTGACACAGTCTGCTGTGTCAGGATTATAATAAAGGACTTAAAGCTGAATGCACTTGACATAATTCACTGGATGAAATACTAATTTTGATAAATGTAATTTTTGCCTCAAAGAAATTGATTTTTTATACAAGTAATTCTAAATATTGTTGCATTTTGTGTTTGAGGTCAGCAGATTTTAATTGAGATTTGATAATGAATATGCAGATGTGCCACCCTTAAACAATCTTGTAAAAAAAAATCCCTACGTCTCTACGTTATCTACCTCCTCAGCTATGACATGCACGTCATAGTCACTGACTTGGGCTAGTTTTTTTTTAAATACAAAAAGGCATGGGCAATAACAATGTTTGCTAATTGTATTGAATGTCAACTGCCTGCAGTTCAGCTTTAATTCAGTACAATCCTGTAGTGGTTTGTTTCCTATTCTCTTCTAGTAAAATTTAAGTGGGCTTGAACTACTTTGTAGGCTTCAATTTTGCACACTGTAGTTAGTTCTGGTAAAGCTGGGTGGATATGTCATTAGAGGAAAGTGCCCTACCCAATGCTGACAGCCAGAAATGGGAGGTTTTTAGCTGCTCCGTACTCAGCTCACAATGATGGCAGCACTTACACTTGTGTTTTCATGTGCATTATCTTAATTGCCTCCAGCCTCTTGACATGGGAATCATTATCTCCACTGTACACAGAAGAGATTTTAAAATACATGAATTGTTTACTGACTTGCTTGTGGTCAGCCAACTTGTAAAGTGAAAATTATGACTTACGTTTACCAGGTTTTCAAAGTACTCTGCTTTCTCCAACCGTCCCCCTTCCCCACTCCACCCCTCCTGTTCCTCCCTCTAGTTCTTGAAATACATGTGCACTGGTGCTGGGGTGCAGCCCGGGGAATAGAGCATTTGCTTAGCATCCGGAAGACTATGAGTTGAATCCCCAGCACCTCCACCCCCTTGTACATGAGAAGTGTCAAGATTGCGGTTTTTCTGAATCCTCAGCTGTTGTTCAGCTCACTGGGCAAGGTTGTTTCTTTCATAAATTCTAGATAGGAAACCAACATTGCCAGTGTCTAGCTATAGGCACTAAGGAAGGGTTCTGGCCTCTAATTGGAGCGCACCCATCATTTCGCAGAGGAGCTAAGAGTTCCATGGGCTTGGAATAGGAAGCAAGATGAAGCGAAGTATCACTCTTCTGAGTTAGAGGATAAACAAGAGAGCAAGAACATGAAATCCAAATTTAGCATCAAGTGTAGCTAGCACACCAGTCTTTTGCTATTACATGAAGGAGACTTGTTTTAAGCAGGGTTTCTATGCTGCGATGAAACACCAGGACCAAAAAGCAAGTTGGAGAGGAAATAGTTTGTTTGGCTCACATTTCCACATCACTGTGATGGCTGAAGTTGCTAATCCTAGACAACTCAGAATGTGCCCGGCCCCAGAAACAGCCTGGACTTCAGCCAATTCCTCAACAAGTATATAACACTCCTGTCCTAGGGTCCTAGGTAGGGTTACTATTGCTGTGATGAAATACCATGACCAAAGCAACTAGGGAAGGAAAGGGTTTATTTGACACAGACATCTGTATCACTGTTCATCAGCGAAGGAAGTCAGGACAAGAATTCAAACAGGGCAGGAGCCTGGAGGCAGGAGCTGATGCAGAGGCCTCAGAGGGGTGTGGTTTACTGGCTGGTTCCTCAAGACATTCTCAGCCTGCTTTCCTATACAACCCAGGACCACTAGCACAGGGATGACCCTACCCACAATGGTCTGGGATCCTCCCACATCAATGTTAATTAAGGAAATGTCCGACTGCTGGATGTTATGGAGGTATTTCCTCAAACGAGGCTTCCTCCTTTCAGTGACCCCAGCCTGTGTCAAGATGACATGTAAACACATGCACACACAGACACAAAAATAAAGTGGAATTTTAAAAGAAAGTTTAAGGAATTCATCTTCTTTCCTTCATGTTGACCCCAGCAAGATCCTTCTTCTTCTTCTTCTTCTTCTTCTTCTTCTTCTTCTTCTTCTTCTTCTTCTTCTTCTTCTTCTTCTTCTTCTTCTTCTTTTCCTCACATTATCTGAAATCAAAGTGGTCTCTTAGGAAAAAGCCATGCTTTTCCCTGCTTCCTATAATCTCACTTACCAGTGTCAGAGGAGAAGTAGGTCAGCGTTTTTTGTTGTTGTAAAGAGACACCATGACCACAGCAACTCTTATAAAAGAAAACAGTGGTGTGGCTTGCTTACATTTCACAGGTTTAGTCTATTATCATCATGGTGGGACATGGCAGGGTGCAGGCAGATATGGTGCTGGAGAAATAGCTGAGTCCTACATCTTGGAAGCAACAGGAAGTGGTCTGAGACCTGGGAGATATCTCGAGTATATATTAGACCTCAAGCCTGCCTCCACAGTGACACATTTCCTCCAACAAGGCTACACCTTCTAGTAGTGCCACTCCCTTTGGGGGACATTTTCTTTCAAACCACCACAGTAGTATATGGGATGTTCCAGTGCTGCACATGCCAGCAATCCTGAGGAAAAAATGTTAGCCCAGGCTGTCACTTGAATGAGATTGTGAAAAATCATCAAAGTACAGAAGCATTCTTTGCATAAAAATGGTTCCATGAAGCTCAGTGTGGTAGTTCCCCAGTTCTTTACAAAAGACAGAAGGCATGTATGACTAAATGTAATCCTTCAAAGATGTACTGAGGAGGGTCTTTTGCACTCAGTGGCGGGGTTCAAGGGTATGATGAAGCTCTGGGCCATGGGGCCTTTGCTGTGGAACTAGCAATACTGGCTACACTTTCTTATAAAGGGCCCCATTCAGCATTCATTTCAAAAGTCTTGGATCTTATCCTAGAAAGCAGTGCTGTCCTCAAGTAAAATTTTCCCACATTTACTGTTCCAAACACTTGATTACTAGAAAAGTCTGTGAAGAAATTTTACTGAAAATCAAACTCCAAGGACAAAGGTCATGACATTTTGTTGCCTGGCTCCAGAATGAAATGATCTTTTATTCTGTGTTTTCTATTTATACTGTGTTAGAAAACTTTGCTTTGAAATGATTTGAGTTGTAGTTTTAAAATAAAAAAAAGGACAAAAAGAAATGAAAGAAAGCAACTACTTTAAATACTTTTTATTGTTAGATATTGCATTTGGAAGGCTGTGACTTCACTAACCCTGATGAAACTACCCAGGATAGTAAAAAAAAATCAGGTAAAGGGAAATAATCAAGACCAGTCATGTTGCATTTTGAAAGGAACAATTTCTCTTGTGAAACTGGTGATTCAAGATTTTATGCCTTTATCCCGCTGAATCAATAATTTATGCAATTCACTATCTCCATCACTATTCTGGGTAATTTTCCATTTTCACACTTGGCTATTTCATCCTATTTTTTCTCAGATGTATTCATTTTAGAAAACAGTAAGTAGGTCTCCTCATACCCTAAGTGGGTATACATATCTGGCTGTGCTCCAAACATAAAGAAAGAACTAGAGGCAAAGCCAAGAAGAATGTCAGGACTTCTGACATATCCATGTCTTCAACTCTGCAGCCCCGGACCTATTAGAGCCAAGGCCTGTTATGCTCAGATGGAAACAAGCAATGCATAGACCTCAAGCCAGACCTTGGTACACCTGAGGAGACTAATGTAGGCCTTGTGACTGATCTGTGAAATGAGTCTTGTAGCAAACTCCTTTCTTAATTTCCCTGATAAATTAAAATGTATATTAACTGGTCAGAAGTCCCAAGGCTGTATACACCAGACAATTAAAGACAGACTTTCATGAAACATCTATGGAATCTATATTCTTTCCATGTATCTAAGTAAGATATTTATTCATACAAGTACAAAAATTAACAAAAATTGTCAAGCAATGTATGAGCATGGGCATGCTATATGAAGATCCAAATGACTCTAAACTACAGTAAGTCTAGATTGCTCTTCATAGTATATCAAAAGCCTCATGAGAAGACCTGCCCTCTGCTGACTTCAGAGAATGTCTGTCAGTCACAGTGTAATTGGTACCAGGATAGGGCATTTGCTAAAGCGTGGAGGCAGATGACAAGAGCAACACAAGGGAGGCGTCATTGGCTGAGCCATGAAGTACAGAGATAATATGGTAGGCTTCTCTTTGCAGACAGCAGGAAAAGACAGCTGAGACAGCACTCTACAGACCCTCGCGCATCTTCAGAAACAGGAGGGAACCTTAAACTGGAGTGGACGGAGTATTATGTGCATAAGACATGGCAGGTAGCACCTCATTTGTCTCTGAGAGATTGGCTGGGACCCTGAAGCAAAGGAAAGACTTGAAGTCTTGATAGCCTCTTCGTATTACTGAAAGTCCCTCTGACCTAGACCTCTGGAGGCAGAAGAACACAAGGATGCGGAGGATGGATAAAGGCTGTTCTAAGACCAAGATGAGGGAAAGCAGACAGCACTTGCTTAGCGTGAAACTGTGAAAACACATGAAGCCAGGTGGGCAAATTGTTAAACTGCACACCTTAATTTTATTGTCTGAAAAATCTTTATAAAGGTACTTCATTAAAGGTTCTAACTGGGGTGAAATGACAAGTCTGTACTCTCACTTCCTTCAGATGTTTCCCTAAATGTCACCTGTTAGACCTGATCTAAAGTAGTATTCTCCATCCTTGGTCCCTTTTATCCTGTGTTATTTTTTTAAAGAATGCATCAGTGGTATATTGTTTGCCTGTCTGTATCTGTGGCCTCTCCTGACTGTGACTCCAAGAGATGGGCACTTTGTTTTATTCACAACAGTGTCCCTACATCCTAAGAGTGTTTGCTTCATTATAGGACACTGTAAATATCTTTTATGTTTCTATACCATGGCTTATTTTAAAGTATCACATTGTTTGCACCTCAGTATGCAAAGACATGACTTCATTATATGTTGGGCTTTACAGAGTATGTCTTGTGACCCGCAGATACTATGAAGTAGTATAAATAAAATAAGAGCTGCTTGCTTTTGAAACAAAGTATCACGGGACTAAAGTACACTATGTGTATCTTTTAGGTATGATTTAAGTCTTGTGTCTTGTCCTTTTGGAAGTCATCAAAAAGTATTTCAAAAGCTGTTCCTTTTGCTTGATATCTGTGCTCCCTGAGGGAATCACAACATTGGTCCTTTTTGCTTGTTTCAATGTGTTCACACAACCTCCTGAAACAGAAGCAAAAAGATCACATATCAAGAGATAGTGGCATTCTATGTGCATTCCACTGAGGCAAGGGACTTAGAAGCATTGTTACATTATCACTACATGGTTAAACAAGGAGTCTATTGCCACACCTAATGCTTTTCTTGTGGAAAGTCATCTATTTTGGTATCCTGATCACTGAATGTTTAATGAAAGGCTATTATTATGAAGCCTGGAACACTTTATAAAAGATATACATATGTGTGTGTGAATTCATATATATATATGCATATGATATATTCAACATACATATCATATATACACCATATGTAATGATTTATATCTTATGTATGGTATGTGTCATATATGTGTGAATTCCTATTGAATATATGAATGGGAATGTCAAATATAGCATGAGAAATAACAGTGCTTAGTACATAATAAACACAACCTGCAATAAGAACAACATATCAGAAAGGTCCGTGTTTATATAATGAAGCAATTTTGAAACGCCTTTCTATTTCTCTCTCCTTTCTGGTCCTACCTGCCGTTGTGTTCTACTCTTACTCTTTTGGGGGCCAGACACCCAGCTCCCAAATAAATCACATGGAGTCTTATTCTTATTTATGAACCCCTGGCCTTAGCTTGGCCTGTTTCTAGCCAGCTTTTCTTAAATTATCCAATTTGTCTTTAGCCTCTGGGCTTTTCCCTTTCTCTATTTCTGAATCCCTTTCTTTACTCTTACTCTGTGCCTTGCTATGTCCCTGGGTGGCTGGATGGCTGGCCCCTGAAGTCCTCTTCCTTCTTTTCTTGATCCTCTCTTCACAGATTTCTTCTGCTTTTTATTTTCTCTGCCTCCCAGCCCCGCTTATCCTTTCTCCTGCCTAGCTTTTGGCCAGTCAGCTCTTTGTTATACCAATCAGGTGATTTAGACAGGCAAAGGAACACAGCTTCACCAAATTAAACAAATGCAACATAAAAGAATGCAACACATCTTTGCATCATTACAACAAATGTTCCACAGCATAAGCGAATGTAATACACCTTAAAATAATATTCCACAACACCCACCCTTTTAATTCTTCTATATTTAAAGTACACAAAATGACAATGCCAATCCATGAGATCATCTTAAAGCTTTGGCTGCATTTCCCATTTTACTTGCTGTAATATTCACATTTTAATTATCTATTCACCTTGATTGTTTGAGAGCACCGACAAGTATATGATTTCAACATTAAGCCTATTTCTTTTGAAGCCAACATAAGTTTGTTATTTTATAAGTGTGATGGAGACCTGGTTTTCAAGCTGCTATAAGAAGGATGCTTAATGTTCACACTGCCGCCTTGCCTGGGCTTCTGTTGCCTTTGAATTAGGTGGTACCTCAAGCCTAGAAAGGCATGAACTGCATTATTTTCTCAGGCTTCAAAGAAAGCATCATAGTCCCCAGGGTGCTTGCTGGCTTACATCAAAAGTCTAAGGTAGCTGGGTCACCCATGACTGATCAATTGTTTTCAGGTACATTTTATCTCATCCACTTTCAATTCTCTTTATTGCCTGCAATTTATTTTCTTCAAATCTTACTTTGTTTGCTTCTAAGAAAACAAGTTCACCTTGCACTTTCTCTTCATCGTTCAAGAACCAGAAGACAATGCAGTATGGAGGCAGATTACCTTCCTGGGAACAATGGCTTGTGTTGTTGGGGCCCTGGAAAGGACTCAGAGGCTGCAGCAACAGCTTCAATAGACAGCTAGGGTCTGAACAGAGCTTCCTATAAGTATCTCTGAATGTATAAACAACTAATTTAAACTGACAGATACAAAGTCCTGTCATTCAGTCTATGTGTCTATCATCTGCATATGTAGCAACTGTTCAAAGCAGTAGGCAGTGTGAATTCACCAACTCCTTATGATTCAGGGGCCA